ATTATTATTATTATTATTATTATTATTATTATTATTATTATTATTATTATTATTATTATTATTATTATTATTATTCTCATCATTGTTATTGCTATAATTATTGTTATTGTTATTCTCTTCTTGATTTCTATCAGCATCCTCTGATGGTTCAATATGATTATCATTACCAGAAGTTCCCTCAATCAATCGAACTCTATAAATCAAAAAAAAATCCAAATAAATATTATTAAATATAATTCTTTCTCAAATAGCAAAGAAAACCTAATAAAAAACTTGCATAAACTGCGGAGTCTTCAACAATCGACGACCGCCGCTCGCCCGTTCATGTGGCCAAACATCCTCAAAGAAATAATACACATGACCAACCGCGATTCCCATTAGATCGCCCACCGGAAACACATTATTTAACATTAATGAGAATCCGAGCAGTACCCAAGGAAGAAAGGGTGCACTAAACACAAATAGTCCCAGGAAATTTAGGCGTATAAATGGGTTACGTCTTGACCATATGTATACTAATGTGAATGCTAATGGGGAGCCCAAAAAGTGTAGGCTGACGAATCTCGATAAAAGCTATTAAAATGATTATGTTAATAATCTGTTGTCTTTTAATTACCTGGGAGGAAAAAAACTGTAGAAAATATTTATTACCAACAGAGCGGTAGCAGCAAGGAATAGTAACCAGAAATAATCCGCCGTTCTACCACGAAATGAACCTTCCTCCAACATTCGACTATACCGTACTCTATTCACATATTAAACATTACGTGCTAAGGAGAATTCAATTAAACTAATAATCTCAATTTCTGTTAATTTCATTGCAAAATGCTCCCAATTCCCCGTAATATCAAAAACAAAACGTCACAATTATAAAAAAAGATACAAGAAAAACATGTGAAATAGAAAATCGAGTGTAAACGGACCAAAATATAAGAAATTGGTTATAAGCCGCCAATACTATAGGATAGGATATTAATAAAGAGTGAGACAAAGAATTCATATTTTTTTTTATGCTAATTAATTTATCTTAGAAATACCTGGTAATTCCAAAACGTCAGTCCATAATTAAAATAAAGTTGAAATGGACTAACAAGTCCAACTTGCTAAAAAAATCTCAAATATTTTTAAAGGTTTAATATAATAGAATTTGGAATAAACGCGTATATACTCCTCCCATTTCTTTACAAATCGAATAAAAAGTATAAATACCACTGCTAAACTCGTCATAACCGCAGCAGTTAAATATGTTCTAGTGATTACGGGGACTTCATAATACCAGTCCTCCACGGGTATAGCCATACTTTAATAAATCTGAATTATGTAAAGAAACGGTTAAAAATGAAATTTACTAACTCGTTTATCGTTATATAAAAATGTGCTGGTAGTTAGTGATTGGCTATGATTGACTATAAATAGTAAAAACTTACCGTTACAAAAGTAATGGCGGTTAAATTTTATTAAAAATATAATTATTTCATTTAAACGTTAAAGCTTTTATATTTAAAAATAAAATAGTTAATATTTAATTTATTGCATTTATTTTTTAGATCTATACAATATTTTTTAGATAACACTCTAAAATATTGCATTTTTTGTAAAATTACCTTAGGAAAACAAGTAGTCTGTCATCTCAATTTATTATTCAAATTAGAACTGCTAATAAATAATTGACGAGAAGTCTAATTATGCTCGTTATATTATATTTTTCGCAAGTGTAAAATCTTCATACTTTTGGCACGATTTAGTAAGGATTAATTTACACATGGCATGATTGGTCAACAAAATCCTATCTCGCTTGATCGCGCAAACGAACTTTTACCAAAAAACACGTTCGTAAAAATCCTCATATAGAACGTAAAAAAAATAATGCTACTAGTCCCCTTTTTCGGCGCCCTAAACCGTCTTCTCTTCCTGCTGCTCCTACCACTAGTATTCGAAATAGGAGGGAAACCAGCAGGCCTAGCACTATCTTTTGCGCTATTTTCATATTACGCGATTTTGGGTATCGCAAGGGTTATTTGGTGGAAGCGAGAGGGACTGGGTTGGGTTGTGGTTGGTTGATTTTTTATTTAGTGTTTTCATCTCATTTTCTAACTAATTATCTCTATTCTTCATATTGACATTAATTTCGAATTTTATTATATCTATTGCATATATACACAGTCACAACTCCTCTCAATATCTCGTTCTTTTCTTATTCCATATTTTATATACCATTCACTCAATTTGACATATAATTCGCTTCGCTCAAACACTACCTCCAGTATGGGATTCCCAATTATCTTAAAAATATACGAAGCAATACTGAATTGGTGTGCGCCAGTCTTTATTTTGGCGGAAGGGTTCGCGACGGTACTGGTGGTGTCGTCAGCGTGTCGTGATTTTATAAGAGAAAGTCAACGACGAAACTATCAGGTACCTCTTAAACTGATGTATCTTTCGTCTGCTCTAAATTTTAATTAATTTCTATTTCATTAAAAAATCGTCGATGAAAATAAAAAAGATATATCTCTTAATTGGTTGGATACTCGGTATCCTATCAACAGGATACTTTCTTGTTGACGTATACCTGACAACACCAAACATGGACAAAATTTCGGCCACGTTAATCGGATCTTCAGTCACTATCACGATCTTAATGCAACTGATGCTTTTCATGAGCGGGAAAGGATTGATTTCTGAGACCTCATTCATGGTAAAACTTTTCCAAAGATACATGAATATTAGGATTGATCTTTCCAGTTGTCAAGTAACATAAGCTTTTAACATTCATCTACTGGTTAATTCATCCAGTTTGCCTATATCGTATACTGTATTTACATGATGTCATATGAATGGGCAAACGACAACCATCATCAATCCATTACTACGAAAATTACGCCTACACCAACTTTATCATCACATGCTGACGTTTCTTCAAAACTACAGTATCAAGATCTTTTTAACCAGTTATCTTCTTTTTCGATGCTCATGGATTCAATAAAGTAAGTATATTCAAGTATGGATAGCATGCGCATGAAATAGGAATCTTTTTTTTTTATTATTTAATTAGTTCTCAGATAAATCTTAGTATCAACAATATGATTATTATTTTCTAGTAATATCCAACCAGACATTATTCTCAAATACATCACCGACTTTCTGTGCTCTATAAAATTCATTACTGCGATAAAAGCAGCATTATCATTACGTGTGTTCACATCGTTGGTGTTTCGTGTGGGCGTAATCTCGATTGCAATAACACTCGTGAAAAAGAATTGCTTTGGTGGTGATCACGATATCGGTGATTATAATAAAGATGATGACAATGAATTCCGTAAATTCTTGAGGGATGAAGATGAAGAAAGGGTTAGTATTCCATCGTCAACGAATAAAATACTTTCAACCCGAGGCCAGAAACCTTTTAATGATTCAATATCTGATCTGCATTCTAGTCGCTAAAGTATCTCACCATAACAACAGCTCTCTCGACGCCAACCATCATCGCTGTTTACACTCATCTTCTCCTATGTCATTACGGGTACTTGGATGGCGGTAATTATGTATCACGATGGCTTAATGTATTCGCTTCATTATTCTTTTATTCGATAGAGTTGTTCAGCAGGGAATCACAAGATACCGATGACGAAATATTTTCTCCTCTATACGATGACGATTAGAATAACTGGCACGCGCGCGCTAATACAAAAAAGTGACAATAATGATGCACATGTTAAACATAATGAATTGAGAAAAAATTCCACATAATTAAATCTTTCAACCACCAAATCCTCACACCCACCAACACACACAACACCAGGTTTTAACCTTCCTTTATTATAATACCATATTAATATATAAATATATATGTGTGGAATTTTTGTGTGTATGTATGTAAATAGAAGAGGGGGTTTTAGTGTATATGTATTTTGTTATATATATGTTATCTATATATATATATGTGTATATATATATATATATATATATAAATAACATATTTGTATAATATTTTTGAGAAATTACAAATATAACTAAACTAATAATAATAAATAACTTTGTTTACAAGAAATTAATTACATTTTATCCCCGAGACTTATTTATCAAAAATTAAAAAAAATCAAATAATCATAAAAAGGGTTGGTTCAATAAATATTCTAATAAAAAATAAGATTATTGTTAATATAATAACTCAAAATAAAGCATAACAGATTATAATAAAATTAAATAGATACCCTCGCATAAATTTTTTATACAATCCGAACAATCAGTATTTGGTTTACGACATCCACAACCACATAATAATACGCCGTCCTCATCAGCGATGATCGTGTGTTTAGGTTGAAGGAGTGATTGTGAACTAGACGAACAACAATTTCCCATTCCATTACCTCCTCCGCAACTTACATCATCTCCGCCATTAATACTCATATTCATATTGACATTTCGTGAATCTATTACTTGCGATTGAAAGTTTGGTGCAATTTGAACTCCTCTGTCAATATTTCCTACAGCTGCGTCCTTTCCTCTCGGATGAGTCTGACAACCTTGACATTTACAATTTGCACCACATCGACATATAGAAGATGAAGTGGCGGAACCTGATACAGCAGTTGTAGTTGATAATGACAAAGAGGGAGCAGACGCAGAACCACAACAACTTCCATTTAGTAATGATGATTTACTATTCTGAAAAGAACTATAAATCATATCAACTAGTTCATTAGGAGAGCTATGGCAAAATTGTTCGCCAAGAACTCCACTCTCATCGGTCATTGATTTCTCGTTCTCGTCATGATATGAATTATAATTTCGTGGTTCGTCAGAAATAATAGAACCACCACTGCCAAGATCGATACCACCACCAACAGTATTTTGCGTTTCCAGTTTCGGTAATGGATATGATAAACTCGGATAAGATGCAATCCGTCGATGCTTATAGAAATTACGCGGTTGATAGGACATTGTTGACTCCGATAACGCTGATAATGACGTTACACTACCATCACTTAAATAGCCGCCACTGTTCCATGAAATATTATTATGATCGGTAACTTTCGGACTGTAGAATCGAGAATTAATCTGCTGAGACGTGGAGGCGCAAAATGGTGATGGTGCTGGAAATTGAGCAACGGTTATTGCATTCTGTCCTATTATTTCTCCGGCAAGAGGACCGATATTTGATCTATTACTGCTATTATTATTATTATTATTATTATTATTATTATTATTATTATTATTATTATTGATGTTATTGTTGTTGTTGTTATTATTATTATTATTATTACTACCACCATTACAACTATTACTATTATTATTATAATTATTATGTTTGTTGTTTGTCGATATCGTTGTGTTGTCATATGATGAATTCAATTGTGTAGTTATCAACAGAGACATAGGATCGCCTACAGATGGTGATCCAGTGATATCAGTTGTTGCTGTCGCTGTTATAGGCGTTGTTGAATTTGACGGAGGAGTAGCAGTTGTCGCAAAAAATCTATTAAAATTATCTAATTGGTTATACATTATTGGATGATCCGTTGAAGAAAAAGAAAAATCGGAGGTCGTAGGGGTTGTAGAAGTTGAATTAATATTAATATTGTTGTTGTCCAAAATATTATTTGCCACGGAAATATTGATTTCGTTTATTTCTTGCTCGACTGGTCGGCAACAGATGCACTTGGCTCCTGTTGTGCATTGACACGGATTAAGAAGAGCTTCAACTATTGAGATATATTTTCATATGAACGCAAAAACCCCCATCAAAATAAAATGTTACAAGGAAGCGAATTTAGGATTGTGTTAAAAAATCCATTGAAAATATAAATGTCATACCAGAATGTTTATCCTCACAGTTTTGTTGTTGATTTTGACTTTGAAGATGTGCTGGTAGTCGTGGCTGTTGATTAAATTCTATTATTTTAAACTGTTGTCCCAAGCCTCCATTAACTAACTGTGCATTTTGTTGTTGTATTAATTGTTGATGCTGCTGTTGTTGTTGTGGGATTATAGTCACCGCTAAATATCAAAAAGGAATAAAACATGTGTGATAATTTATATACTCTATATATATCATTGATTGAAATGGTATAAAACATCATACCCTCTTCTTTCTTTTTTTCGTTGCATGTGCACTTTACATGTACTTTTTGCGTTTTGCGAAGTTCACGGCAATGAGCACATTGTGTTATAGGTCGACCTTTACGTTTTATTGCTTGTAAGGGACGATCGGAGTGGTGACATGCAGTGGAGCGATGTCCTTTTATGCACGTCACACTTTAAAGGAAACGAAAGCAAATATTAATTAGCTTGTGCAAAAAAGGTGATTTTGAACATTATAAAAAAGAAAGTGAGCTATTATTTCTCATTGGATAGGAAATGGTGGACTTTTATTGCGGATAGACAAGATCCAGGGTAAACGAATCCAAATCTCCCTATTCTCGTATGCTCACTTTCCAAAAGCATTAGAAATTAAAGAAAGTGTACCAAGCATATTTAACTCCGTTAATGAAAACCATTTTTTGTGTGGCAAACCCAGAAGGGCAAACCTCCGCACATTGGCGGATGATAGCAGTGTTTGAAGAGTAGTATATAACGCCCGCTAATTTGGGTGTTTGATGTGAAGTGTTGTGTTTATTGGTCTATCAGTCGTTTATATTTTGAGCATAATGGAAATTACCAATTGCGGCTGGTAGGCTAAAAAGCGGAGAGAATCATTAGAGCCCGAATAGTTTGATCCGGATCAAGTTAATCCGGATTTTAAGAACTGAGAATGACTCATTAGGAGCCGGGCTTCCTTTAAGCGTGATCTACTCTGCATATCATATTTTATTCTAGTCCCAGGTTGCGCTAAGTGTCGAACTTTTAGTTCAGAACTTCTGTTCAGACAGTTCATCAATTTCAAACAGAGCTCTTAATCCACTCATTCTATTCTACCAGCACGCGTACTTTCCTGTTATCAAGTATTTGTTGTGCTTTCTTTTTTCTTGTCACGTCAAATCCAGGATCAGAGTTTGCCATCTCTCGAAGATCTTTATGTATAAGACCCAGCACTTCTTTGTTTTATTTTATTAAAATTAGCCAATTAGAAAATGAAATCGAGCCACGAAAACGAGCATAGGTCATCCCGTGATCAAAGTGACAGTTCGGAATCGGAAATATCGATTTTCCGATTCACTGATAATGATAATGATAATTATACAAAATATTCTTTATAACATTGTCAATTATCAACATGTGATGTATTTTTGTCTCTTCTATCTTTCTACTTTCTTATTATTTTTAATACTTACTATTTAATTACTATCTATACTTGTTAACAAAAGAAAAAAATCACTATTTGCTTTTCAAAATAAAATTAAAAATAAATGAGAATATAATAATATAATGATATTAGTAATTATTGAAATAATAAATTATCAATTTAAAAGAATAAAATATTAATTTAAAGAAAATAAAATATTTTAATATATAACTTACTAAATTTGATATTATAATTATATGATTGAAAAATTTATAAATAATAATAGATATAAAAATAAAAAACAAAAAATAATATTACTATTCAAATTATTAAAAACATAAAGAATTAATTATATAAAGTAATTTATTATAGTTATAATTAATTCTTTTTTAAAATTATAATAATTAATAAAATAATTAATTATAATTCTTTAATGAATATATATTTGAATTTTTTATAATTATTATATTTAAAAAAGTAAAATTAAATAATTATAAAGAGATTTTTAATTATAATTAATTTAATAACTGAAAAAATTATAATATAAACTTTAATTAAGAAAATTATTTATTATTTAATTAATTAATATATATTATAAGAGAATAAATATATATTATATAATATATAATTATTATAAAACTGATTTTTTTTTCTTTTCAGATAAGATTTTTATTATAATTAATTAATTATTTATTTTAATTATGTAAAAAATAAGATTTTTAAGATTCTTTTTCTTTTTTTTAATAATTATATAATATATATTTATCTTTTAATATTTATTTTTAATAAAATAAATATAATTCTTTTTTTTAAAGATTAAAACTTTTCTTTTTTTAAATATTACTTTATTATTTATATTTTTTTTAAATTATAATATGATTAAAAAAATTTTGAATAATAAAAAATTTATTTAATTATAATCTAATTTTTATTTATAATTTATTAATTTATTAATTATATAATTAGTTTAATATATTAAAATTTTTTATTATATTTTATTATAAATATAATAATTTTGATTGAATTATCTTTCTTTAGCTTAAATCTTTATTTTGTATTATCTGTATAACAGATTAGTTTCTGTATTACTTTTTATAAAAATTAATTTTATTCTGAATATACAAATAATTATTATGTATTTAATATATTAGATTTAACATATTATTATATAGATAGTTATTATATATATTTATATTACTAATTTAGATTAATAATATTTTTAATTAAATATTTTCTTTAATAATTTTTTATATTTTTGCTCATTTTTCTTATTTATTATTTATATTATTTATAATTATTGAATTATAATTAATTATTCTTTAAAGATATAAATTAAGTTAATTAATTATATTTAATACATATATATTTTAATTAGAAATTCATTATTAATTTATTTACTTTTTATATTTATTTCTTTATTATAAATATGTTCTATTTATTTTATACTTTTACCTTTAGATTTGAATACTTTAAATAATAAAAATAATTATAAATTATAAAATTAAAACTATTCATATTATATTTTATCTTATTTATAATTATTAATAAAATAATTTTATAACTTGATAATAGTAAATATAATTATTATAAAGATCACTCTCTAATATCTTATTATATATTTACATATCATATACATATTTCACACACATATTTTAGTTTTAGTATAATAATATCTTGTCAAAATAAATATAAAATAATTTGAGTAATTTATGCAAATCATAACCAAATAATTAAAAAAAATAATTTCTCTAGTTTTAAGTCTTTATCTTATCTTTCAATTAAGCTATCTACTTACTTAGAAAAATCAAATAAAAATATATTTATTTGAATTATGTAAGTTAAAATTATATTTTTAGTTTGAGAAATTACAGAAAAAAAAATTTAAATATAATATATAATAATCTTCTTAACTAATATAATATTACATTAGTATCTTAACAAATATAAGACAAATGATAATACTATTTCTTTTAAGAGTTGAGAAATTTTTATTATAATATTGTTATAATATAGATTTTTTATATATATTTTATTAATATTAGTTATTTTATACCCGTATTTTTATTGGACAATTATTAGTTATATTTTATTGGACAATAATTAAGATAGTATTATTGGTAGATATTTTTAGATA